TTGAAGTTTATAGTTTATATGAGTGTTCACTCCTTGTGTCATACTATTCTTTGGGTTCTAACAAATGCATAATATCATGTAATCATCATTAAACCTCTAAAAATCCTCTGTACTCCACCCATTCTTCCCTCCCTTCCCCCAAACTCTTGCAACCACTAAACTTGCTCTCTGCATTGTTTTGCCTTTGCCAGAATGTCATAGTTGGAATTTTACAGTATGTAGCTTTTTCACATTGACTTCTTTTACTCAGCAGTAAGCTGTCATCATACCTCCACATCTTCTGCAGCTTGATAGCTCACTTCTTTTTATCACTGGATAATATCCCACTTTCGGGGGCTGCCACAGTTTGTTTACCCATTCTCCTATGGAAGGAAACTTGATTGCTTCCAAGTTTGGACAATAAAGAATACAACTATAAATGTCTGTGTTCAGGTCTTTGTGTGGACGTAAGTTTTCAGCTCATTTGGGTGAAACCAGGAAGAGTTATTGCTGGATCTTATGTGTAAGACTATGTTTAGTTTTGTATGAAACTGGCAGACTATCTTCCAAAGTGGCTACACGATTATGCTCTTGATCAGCAATAAATGAAAACTGCTGTTGCTCCACAACCATGTCAGTATTTGTTGTTGTCAGCGTTTGGAACTGTAGCCATTCTAATAGGTATGTTACAACTTCTTTTAGAGTATCATTGAGCCTCTGTCCTCCATTAACTATTGATAGGCTATGATAGTTAGATCAAAATGTAAAATATGTGAAATTTCTCTTTGCCACCCATCAATTTTCATTCAGTCTATAGTCAGTCCATTTGCTTCCTTCCTCTTGTACCTTCACTTCTAAAACAACAGTTTCCCACTTGTATTCCCTTTGCCTAGTCTGTGCTCTTTTTCTTTTTTCCTTTTCTTCTCAGGAAATACCATACTAATCTCTACTAAGATAACAAATATGTGTTGTTAAGGTCTCAGTGTCAAAAAATAATCCAAATCCAAAGGCTCTGTTAAATTCAGTAAGATTCCCTTATACATTGGAAATGCCTTCAGAATCTCAAAAATGTAGATATAATGTTAAAAGTTAAAGGGTGGGGAAAAGATGAGGGCAACAGTCACTCAGCTAACTCTAAGAAGTTAGTCATTTATCAAAGCTAACCCAAACTGGTTGGTTCTTCCAGTAGTGCCCTTAAATTTAGGCTTGAATCTTTAAGTTCTTCAGAATTTTATATGACCTCAAATATAGTGTTCAGGTTTTCTTCATTTTTTTAATTTAATTTTATTTATTTGTGTGTTAGAGAGAGCACAAGCATAGGGAGCAGCAGGCTGAGGAAGAAGCAGAATCCCTGCTGAGCAAGGAGCCAGATACAGGACTCAATCCCAAAACACTGGGATTTTTTTTTTTTTTTTTTTTTTTTTGTGAGAGAGACAGTGAGAGAGAGCAGGAGGGAGGAGAAGGTCAGAAAGAGAAGCAGGCTCCCCACGGAGCCGGGAGCCCGATGCGGGACTCGATCTCAGGACCCCAGGATCATGACCTGAGCCGAAGGCAGTCATCCAACCAACTGAGCCACCCAGGAGTCCCAAAACACTGGGATTTTGACCTGAGTAGAGCACAGACATTTAACCCACTGAGCCACCCAAACATCCCAGGTTTTCTTTGTTTTACAACTAATTTTCAAGTGATGCAATTTCCCAATTAGATTTGAATATTTTTCTTTAATATCTACCATGTAATAGAAACACAAAAAATAAGTGCTGAAAGGATGAGTGACTTTTAAGTTCTGTAAACATAAGCACCATGTGTTTCTCCCAGGTATGGGTAACATATGGCTGCATCTAAACAATAAGGTTTTAAAAGAGGAATGAGCTCAAACGGCTTTCTGTCTTTAGAAGAATGCATAACCATCATACATTTGCATTGGTTCTTTGTTTTCAAGCATAATAATGAATTCTGTGTTATATATCAATTTAGGCATAAAATTTGATGCATTCTTGCAAATAAGCATGTACAATCTATTCCAAGCATACCTTAATGCCTAAAATGTCTCTATTGTTCCTTTTTGGTCAATATCACTTTCTGGAAATAACCATCTGTCTAGATTCTGACAACAGTTTCTGTAGACCCTATCAATAATTTTCCCAAAAGGGAGGGGGCCGGGCAGGGTACCTTGATGGCTCAGTTGGTTGAGTAGCCAGATTTTCATTTTGGCTCAAATTGTGATCTCCTGGGTTATAATCTTATGGGTCATGAGATGGAGCCTGGCTTGACCATAGGGCTCCATGCTCAGCAGGAGATCTACTTGAATATTCTCTCCCTCTGCTCCTCTCTCTGTGCATGCTCACTTTCTCTCTCTCAAATAAGTAAATATTAAAAAAAAAATAATGATTTTCCAAAACAGTTGTTAGATTTGCAATCCCACCAGCAATGAAGAGTTTCTGTTGCTCTATATCTTTGACAATACTTGTCATTTTCAGACGATTTAATTTGATCATTCTTGTGGACATGTGACAATATTGGAATACTCTTTTAATTTTTTACCTGACAAGTAATGATATAGGGCTCCATTAGACATGCCTATTGATCACTTCTTTTTTGAAATGTATCCTCTTTTTTGAAATGTCTGTTCAAGTGTTTTGTTAGTTTTTTGTTCAGTTTTTAATATTTTAGTATTGATTTGTAGGAGCTCTTTATATACTTGAATACTGGTATCTTGTCAGATCTGTGTTCTGGAAATATTTTCTTCCTGTATATGCCTTATTCTTTTTTTTTCACTTTAAAATGGTGTCTATATATGAACGGAACTTCTTAATATAATGAATGGCCCTGATGCTTTTTCTTATCTTAATTAAGAAATTCTTGGCTGCCTCACTTCTTATTCTTTAATTTCCTTGTCTGCTGTCTTCAGAATTTGTTCCATTTTTATTGTTCATGCTAAATTAAAAGACAGTTGTTAGTTTGAATATTTCATTCTCATTAAGTCAACAAGAAGCCATAAAAACACAAATAAATCAAACAGGTTTAATGATGTCACACTCTATTTAACTCTGACAGATCTCTCAGTTGTGCTGCTGATGATCTGATGATGGATTTCCTCTGAGCTAGATGACAGTTTCCCATGGAAGGAAATATGTTCTAGAGCTCTTCTCTTAATTCCAACATGAATCAATACAATCTAACAATAAGAGGTATATTAATATGCTAAAACTGCATTATACTAAGAGTGCTAGTTTCTCTAATTAGTTATATTGATTATTGTTTATCTTTATATATATAAAGTCTTTCCTCAGACTCTGATGCTAAATTCCAATTAGAGAGTAAAATAGTTTTATGTGAAATTATGTTTTGCTCACTAAAACGAAAGAGTTCAGTCCTCTCATGGTGACACTAAAATATCTTTACCTTGATCTACTCACAGTGAAGCTGCAACACTTCTCCTGAATTGACTGAAAGGACACAAGCTGGCTGAGCACATTTATCGATGCATTCAGTAAACAAGTCTGAGATTTTCACATACGTTGTAATAAGTTTTTAAAGTAGAGTTTGGATTTAACCCTCTTCACTGGTTATTGTTACTCAGATACAGCTAAATTAGAAATTAATAGTTTAAGATTCGACATCAGAATATTTGCATATCAAAATAAATGGATGTGGTCAATCAGCTGTGATAATTAAGCTCTTCAAAGGTGCATGACCAGAGCAAGATGCTTTATTTAAGAGCCCTCAAGGAGGGAAGTATGCAATCAGTGTGGCAGCACGCTTGATAAAGCAGATGCCTCTCTTCAGTAAGACCTGTTCCAGTATTAGGCTGTATTTCTCATGACATTCTTGATCCTTAGCAACTCATTTCACTTTCTGGAGTCCTTTCCCATCCAAGATGGCATTATAGTAAGCTTTACAGGGCCCCCGCCAGCTTCATAATTCTACTGGTTTTACTGAATTCGGTTAACTCAAACAGAAAACATTCACTTTTGTTTTACTACCTAAATATATAAAACTGGGGGCGGGAGAGAGGGAGAAATGATGATACTTCATTCTGTATTTTTCATAAGCAAATACTTATGTGAAGTACTAACATAAAATGCTCACTCTTTGAAGGTCAGCGTTACAAGACACTTGTTATAATGCATAAAGCTTCAGTCCAGGAATAGCCTTGATACGATTACTACACAAGTGATGACAGTGATTTTTAAGTTTCCATGATGAATAGCAAAATATTTCAGTGTACTGACAATACTGAAGAACAATGGCATGTCCCACCATGGAGGACCATGGGGAATATATGATACTATGTATATATATATACATATATATATATATATTTATGATATAAAATATCATATAAAAATGTTTATTTTCACTGTGCATTTAGAGATTTATTTTATTCTATCACTACTTTTTCTTCTTATTAAAATGGCTAAATAAAAATAAATTTTGAACAAAACATCAAAGTGCTTACTCTGCATTTCAGCCTCACTTTAGATATGAAGATATGTCAAGTTAATAGTTCAGTACCAAATTCGTATACCAATGTTATCTAACTAAAAGCATTGAATAAGGTTTGGTCTAGTGTTCAGAGGAAAAAAATCTCCATTCCAACTGAGTGTTATGGATTGGAATATATCTATCTAGCCATATGGGTGTATGTTTATATTTCTCCCAGGACTTTGGTTTTTCGTGGAGTAATTTATTTTCTTCATTGCCAGTTGGGTACAGTTACAAATAATCACTTTGATATTTTGAGTTTCACAAAAAAATGAAAGCCACGTATGCTATTTCAACTTCGGATAATTTATTGCAAAAGGAATAGAGAAATCCCACAGTTATAAAAGCAGAAATAAAGGACACCAGGAAACATGAAAGAGACCACTATAAAATGATAAATATTCCTAAAGTCTTAGATACCAAATGTTTTTGATCTTGGCTTGACTCTGGATGATCTTGTTTGGTTGGGTTATTGTAGTCAAATTTGGATAATCCTTTTGTGGCCTCAGATGTTGGGCTTCTGGAGCAGGATTTCAGTAGAAGCCAGAGAATCCATATCTTCCATAGCAAGATGGGTGGCAGCAGCCATATCTGTAGCCTCTGCAGCCCCAGCCGCAGCCCCAGCCACAACCCCGTCTGTGGAAGCTGCCACATCCCCAGCGACGGCCAAAGCCCAGGCCACCAAAACCTCCACAGCCGTAGCCCAGGCCTCCATAGCAGTTGCCGTAGTAGCTCATGGTGTCAGGGGTGATGAGTTTGGTTTGTTATTCAAGTCCAGATCCTGAGTGTGAATGTCAGCATGGGTAGAGAGATGCTTATATACCCTGAGCAGAACATATGATAAATCACATGTATACTTTTCCCTTGTGTCATGCTGCATATTATCTGTAGTGTTGTAACTCATTATTCTTCCGTCTCTTGACACAGGGAGAGGCCCTCATTCCCATTAAAATACCTCGGTTTACTTAGCTTCTTATTTAGAATGTCCTTGAACCTATTGTTTAGCTTTTATGGGAAGAAATGCCTACCTCTTTAAATTTTATACATTCCAAACCCTACATTGAATTGCTTATTACCAGGTATATTACATCATTTACATTTGATGACATTCCTTTTATAATTAAAAATTTTCTCCTTTCTGTCATCTCCCAAGTGGATAATTCCATCTCCAACTAAATTCATAGATATTTCTTCAATTTACAGCTGTTAAATCAATATTTTTCAAAAAGGAAATTTGTTTATCAAGATGAGGACTGAAGAAAGTGCCTCTGTTCAGAAAACATTTTTAAAAAGAAGGTACATGTTGATTTTTATCATTTTAATTATAATAACCTTTATAATATATTTGGCTTTAAGAACTATCTTCAGCAAAGGGAGAGAGAGAGAGAGACTCTCCAAGCAGGCTCTCCACAGAGTGTGGATGGAGCCTGACCCAGGGCTCAATCCCAGGACTCTGAGATCATGTCCTGAGCCAAAATCAAGAGTAGGCCACTCAACCAACTAAGCCATCCAGGAGCCCCTTAACTTACATGATTTTGAATATACAGTTGAGTTGTTATGAGATTCTCAAGTATTTTAACAAAGGTAAATTTCCTCAGATGTTTTAATCCTAAACAGCGAGTAGGAAATTAAGCACTGCTTATGGAACTAATGAAGAAATTATAAGTAAACTGATAGTAGCTATCATGGCTACAACAACCAGTGCAACTCTGAATCCACCTTAGCAAACCATCATTTTAAAACCAAAATGTGGTTTGATAAGTCATAACCCAACATATCCCAAGTTTCTTTTACCCAAATATTATTTCAATATTTCTCACCCTAAACTAGAAATAGTTGATAAGCTGAATTTTTCATTCTCAATAAGTCCTTTTATATACATGTAACCATAAATAACTCAGACAAGATTAAGGATATCACCTCTTGTCCATATAACTCAGCCACATCATGTGAGAGTGATTAATGGCTTCTTTTTGTTCATTTGGATTTGAAAGAGATGTGTCCACCTGAGATAGAACACTAAAAAACAAAAATGAGAAACCTCAACAGTGAAATAAGAAATAAAAATAGTTTCAAGGATAAAATGTGATAGTTTTACACAAGACCAATTTTACTGTTAATGAGCAGCAAAATATCAATACTAAACTATTATAAAATACATAGAAAAAATGTTTGTCTCTTTTTTTCTAAGTGAAAAATTGTTAAAATGAAAGTATCCATTGCAAAATGAAGACTATATATTTCTTTGTAGAAGTATTGTTTTATGTTCAGTTGCTGGACCCAAAGTAGATTATTTTTTTTCCTTCTTTTCACTCTTAGGAAGTTTCCTTTAAAATACATGTTAAATAACACTATAATAATGGGTGGTAAGAAAAAGAAAATCTGTTTTCACTTGGGATAAATAATAGTCTTTACAAATCAATAAAGGAAACTTCTGTTGTAAATTCCCAAGGTTGTCCTGTAACTCAGACATAAGTCAAAAAAAAATGAAATTGTAGATCACAAAAATACACTACATTTTACTAGGAATGTCACTTTTTTTTCTCATTCTAGGTATACTGATAATTCTTTTTCTTTGTAACTTTGTAACATCTTCCTCGGGCTGCAAAGGTACTGACCTGTGTGAGAATAAAATAATTTCAAATATTATTTAGTTATAGGAGCCAAAGTTCTTTAAAGGCATGGCCAAACTCTATTCCTGATATCCTTACCTATTAAAATACAATGTTTGATAGGACAAGTGACAGGAGTTGACTGATTTTTTTTTCTCTCTTCAGGTTGTATAAACAAATCCAAATCATCTTTCTAATAAAATACCGTGATGACAATTAAGTTTTAACATTATTCATTCTTCATTTGCCTTGAAGTACAACTAAATTACAAATTGAGAAGTAGATTATATACAATAAAATAAAATTTTCACAATAAAAATGTAAAAGAAAACACAATAAGAGGTAGTTAATCTAACAGAGGGAATAAACTCAGCTATAAAATTATAGCTATTCATGGAAATATGACAAGAACTTTCCAGATGGTATTCAAATTTGAAAATATATAATGGAAGAGAATCAGCATGATGGGGTAGATCACCAGGTTTCAGTGAACTGGTTTTTGATCTTGGTTCTGACTCTTGTGGTATTTGTGACTCCAGGCATCACTTAACCATCTGGAGTTTCTACACTTGTATGATATAAGGGGCAGCACAGCATAAACTCTAATTCTAGGTCAGCTCTCACTTCTGCTGTTGTCCTTTTATTATTGGATTTCACCAACTCAAACAGTAACAAAAAACTTTATCTTGTTGCATTACCTGAATATTCCATTCAAATCTGAAAAGTCAAAAATTTTATTACATATTTTACATACTCTACTATGTAAAATACCAACAACAACATGCTTGCTTTTGATGAGTGATAATTGATTGGAAATCTACTTAAAAAAATCCTTTGGATGAATGATGACTCTCATCAAGGAAAGCTACACAGTGATATATTTCCTGGTTGTATCTAGGTGTTTACATTTCATTTACAGTTGCAAAAGGCTTGAATGCCATGAAGATGATAATAATGAAAGTAAAAAAGAATAATATCAGGACACCTGAGTGGCTCAGTCAGTTGAACGTCTAACTCTTGATTTCAGCTCAGGTCATGACCTCATGGTCATGGGATTGAGCCCCATGTTGGTCTCTATGGTCAGAATGGAGTCAGCTTGAGATGCTCTTTCTCCCTCCCTCTGCTCCTCCCCACACTTGTGCTCTATCTAAATAAATAAAATCTTAAAAAAAAAAAAAAAGATAATGTCACTGCATACTACAGAGGAATAATGATATGGTAAAAATCTAAATCAAATATATTCTTAATACTACATATATTTTAATTAACTAATTTGAAGTAATTTTAATACTTTTGTAAAATAATTATTTTCATGAGAACATCAAGTAGTGGAAACAGAGAAAAATATTATATATAATCAAGAAATTAATTTAAAAAACATTTCTTTTCCTAGAAGTTTAGAGAAATATTTTGATCTATCACTCTTCTTTTCTTGTCATGAAAGAACTAAAGAAGGACATATGTTGAAAGCAGGATGAATTATTTATTCATTTTGGACTGCATTGATAAAAGGAAATGTATAAAATGTTAAACATAAATTATTTTTTATTTATTGCCATAAATACATTGCAATTGTTAGACTTCATTTTTTATTCTTGTTTAATTTTTTTAAAGGTTTTATTATATATATTTGACAGAGACACAGGCAGGGGGTGTGGGAGAGGGAGAAGCAGGCTCCCCACAGACTAGGAACCCAATGCGGGGCTTGATCCCAGGACTCTGGGATCATGACCTGAGCTGAAGGCAGACTTTCAATGACTGAGCGACCCAGGAATCCCTATTCTTGTTTAATTTAAATCTAAACATTATCTGATTAAAGTAAAGAAAAAATCAACAGGTCTTTGAGAAGTTAACATTCATTTCTATCTAAATTTATTGTTCTTTTTTAGGTCTCCATTTGTGAGATAAATATTTAATACACAAACACATATATCAGAATCTTTATTGAAAGTTGAGTAAGATCTATGTTTAGTTACATATATAATTAATAATAAAGAATTAAACAAAAGCTATAATTGCTTTTTCATATTAAAAGGCTTTATTAAAGAAATAAAGGAGACATGATAGATATAAAACTGTGTAGCTCTAAATGTACTGGAAGTTTTAGGTGCTATTTTGATAAATGGACCATTGATAAGTGGAGCAAAATCTTGGTTGACCCAGAGGATGAAATCAGATTCTGAAAGTCCACTCATGGAACCAGGTATTAGACTCATAAAGAAGAATTTTAATAGAAGACAGAATCCATATCCACCATAGCAAGGTGGGAGGCAGCAGGTATATCTGTAGCCTCCCTAACCACAGCCACAGCCCCATCCACAGGAGCTGCCACAGCCCCACCCATGCCACAGCCCAGGTCTTTATAGTAGTTGCTGTAGTAGCCCATGCTATCAGGGGTTGAAGGCTTGGTTTGCTATGAAAGCTGTTTCCTGAGCATGAATCTCAGCATCTGCACAGAGGTTTTTACACCCTAAGCCATGGATGTGGTAAATCATCCCAAACACACCTCATTTTCCTCCCACAGAAGAAATTTCATGAAACAAGTATTTTTGGTTTTTTTTGTTTAATATGCACAGAGTGATCTTCCACTGAAGTAAAATTTCTAAGTTAATCTTTAGTTCAGTTAGCTCAATTCCTTTTATTAAGTTGTTTTTATAATGAGAAATATTTATTTGCAACTTCAAAGACTATTCCAATATTAAGATTCATATAACCTTCCCCTTATTTTGGTTTCTGAGGATCTCTACAACTCAGTCAAGGGCTGCCTGACAACATCATCTGATGTTGCTACTTTACTGCATATGCTGTGTATTTTTTCATGGAGATGACCTCTTATTATTTGAGGTAAGCAGGACACTAATGTTATTCTGAAATCCATGCCCCATTTGAGACCATAACCACATAGATGGCAAATATCCAGACATGTTGAGATACAAACAAATTTTACTTTACTTTTATGCCGTTCAGAACCAGCGTCGAACCAGTTACTTTTACAGTGTCTCATTAGACATTTCTTAATCTTTGAAACACAATATTTGAAATCTTTATGCCTCCTTAAAGAAGGCACTTCCAAACTTGAGGAAGAAACAGAGGGAAGAAGAAAGGGAGTGAGAACAAAACAAATATATATTCTTTGTTTTCTGTATTTAATTCTAGTCAAAACAAATGGTGCCTCAGTTTAATAAATGTCAATAATCCTTTACAATTATGATCTGAAAGATGTCAAGAGGGTATCCTGGCAATTTAGGAACTTCTTTCTGGAATCCAGGATAGTAACATTATAGAAGAAATACATAGCTCTACTGATCTTTTTGTGCAGGAATTAGGAAGAGAAACAAAAATGTAGGCAAATGATAGTCATAGTGATTTCTCTCAAAGACTAATCTAAGGATATCTTTAATAT